CTCCACTATTCGCATCTAATTTAGGGAATAGAGTACTGTTTGCCAATTTTGCTAAGCTATTATTAACCAATGCATTGCATATATTTCCCTTGTGTAGCTTCGTTAAATTGTGTTAGGTGCACATTAGGTCCTGTTATTGCAGTTTTGTTTAGGAACAGAGCCCACATCTTAGCATTAGTTGGTAGGTACTGTAATTGATGAAATTACCCCTTTTTACTGCATTATCTCTCCTTTTCCATGACTAGCTACACACCTCCCTTGGTGTAAAAAAACACAAACAGGCAGTGCATTTGACTGTACTGTAATATGTTATTGATTTTTCAGCTAATTCAGCCCTGAAAATAATTTAGAAAATTCTTCTCTAAATTCTGTAGTGCGTCTTCATGAGCAATTTACTCTACTTCAATGATGACCTTTAATCTTAAATATGCTGACTTGCTGGGAAGTGCAGTACTTTACGTTCTGCTACTTTTCTGACTTTATATTTTAATGTTGCCACAGCATGACCTGTTAGTTGTTCCTGCTGGGTCCTGCAGTTTGAGGGTGGCACGGTGGCTCAGTGGTTAGCACTGCTGCCTCGCAGCAGGGACCTGGGTTCAATTTCACCCTTGGCTGACTGTCAGTGTGGACTTAGCACATTCCCCCCATGTCTGTGTGGGTTTCCTCCAGGTGCTCTGGTTTCTTCACACAGTCCAAAGATGTGTGGGGGTTAGGTGGATTGGCCATGCAAAATTGCCTGTAAAGTCCAGGAGTATGCAGACTGGGTGGATTAGCCAGTTGAAATGCAGGATTCATTTGACATCATCCCCAGAGCCTCAAACTCACTTAAAACTATCACCCAGTTTTGCTTCTGGATCATGGACAGCCTCATGTACTGTATTGTCTTCACGAGCATTAAATCTTCTTTTCAACATAAAATATCTGACAATGTTTTCAGTTGTTTCAGCGGAGGAAGTCCGGGAGAAAGCGCGAGGGCAGCCTGGGAAGGTAAGCTTTTCGCCTATAAAAGTCTTACCTCGCGTGACTGTGGCCTTTCAGTTGTTTCAGTGGCAGGAGTCCGGGAGAAAGCGCGAGGGCAGCCTGGGAAGGTAAGCTTCCACCCAATAAATTTCGGAGTTAACTTCACTGGACTCTGGGGTGCTTCCCGCAGATTGGGAAACAGCCAATGTGACGCCACTGTTTAAAAAAGGAAGTAGACGAAAAGCAGGTAACTATAGGCCAGTTAGCTTAACTTTGGTTTTGGGGAAAATGCTTGAATCTATCATTAAGGAAGAAATAGCAAGACATCTGGATATAAATTGTCCCATTGGGAACACCCAGCATGGACTCATGAAGGGTAGGTCATGTTTAACTAATTTGGTGGAATTCTTTGAGGACATTACTTGCATGGTGGACAATGGGGAACCTGTGGATGTGGTGTATCTGGATTTCCAGAAGGCATTTGACAAGGTGCCACACCAAAGGCTGCTACATAAGATAAAGTTGCATGGTATTACAGGTAATGTATTGGCATGGATAGAGGATTGGTTGACCAGTAGAAAGCAAAGAGTAGGGGTAAATGTGTGTTTTTCTGGTTGGCGGTCAGTGGCTAGTGGTGTGCCTCAGGGATCAGCGTTGGGACCGCAATTGTTTACAATTTACATAGATGATTTGGAGTTGGGGACTAAGTGTGGTGTGTCAAAATTTGCAGATGACACTAAGGTAAGTGGTAGAGCAAAGTGTGCAGAAGACACTGAAAGTCTGCAGAGGGATATAGATAGTCTAAGTGAGTGGGCAAAGGTCTGGCAGTTGGAGTACAATGTTGATAAATGTGAAGTCATCCATTTTGGTAGGAATAACAGCAAAATGGACTATGTTTTAAATGGTAAAAAATTGCAGCACGCTGCTGTGCAGAGGGACTTGGATGTCCTTGTGCATGAATCGCTAAAAGTAGGATTGCAGGTGCAGCAGGTAATTAAAAAGGCAAATGGAATTTTGTCTGCCATTGCTAGAGGGATGGAGTTTAAAAACAGGGAGGCTATGCTGCAGCTGTATACGGTCCTGGTGAGGCCACACGTGGAGTACTGTGTGCAGTTTTGGTCTCCTTACTTGAGAAGTGATATACTAGCACTGGAGGGGTTGCAGAGGAGATTCACTCTGTTGATTCCAGAGTTGAGAGGGTTGGATTATGAGGAGAGACTGAGTAGACTGGGATTATACTCATTGGAATTCAGAAGAATGAGGGGCGATCTTATAGAAACATATAAGATTATGAAGGGAATAGATAAGGTGGAGGCAGGGAGGTTGTTTCCGCTAGCAGGTGAAACTAGAACTAGAGGGCATCGCCTCAAAATAAAGGGAAGCAGATGTAGGACTGAGGTCAGGAGGAACTTCTTCACCCAAAGGATTGTGAATCTGTGGAATTCCCTGCCCAGTGAAGCGGTTGAAGCTACCTCGCTGAATGTTTTTAAGGCAAGGCTAGATAAATTTTTGAACAGTAAAGGAATTAAAGGTTATGGTGAGTGGGCGGGTAAGTGGAGCTGAGTCTCAAAAAGATCAGCCATGATCTTATTAGATGGCGGGGCAGGCTCGAGGGGCCGGATGGCCTACTCCTCCTCCTAGTTCTTATGTTCTTATCTGATGATTGTGTGGTCTGAGTTAATTCATTGCTGCATCCACAATCGCCTCCTAATCCATAGAAGTAATTGAAAAATGAATCAAGGGAGTTCCCTGGTCCGTGGTTCCATTTGAAAAATATAATGTAGTGCTTGTAACGAGGTGATCCAGGTGGACTTCATAGAATGTGAGTTCCCTGATTGGGGCTGTTAATCTGGTCTAATCAGGGAGCCCTGCCTGACAGATATAAACAGAAGTGTCAGAGGTTCTGTTCACTCGGAGAGCTGGCTCTCAGGGAGCTGGATCAGTCTCTAGGACTCTCCATGTGTAAATAAAGGGTAACTTGGTGACAGGATACCGGCCGCTGTGGAGTTATTTAATATAGTGTGGTCAATGAATAGAGTTTTGTCAAAGGAAGATGAAATTTCATCCATCTTTTCTGGTCAACATGTCATCTGTGATGGTACTGATTGCACAAAGCAAAGTTATAACCCAATCATGTTACCTGGAAAAATGTCTTCTGCAGTCAACTTGCATCTGCGCCTGCTGCAGGAATAGCTTTGGACATGGCTGAGCTGATTCCGTTCTCTCGATTGATGCCTGCTTGCAGCTCTACTGCTTTGCACTGCTGCTGATCCAGGATGCTTACCCTGCTCACTGGTCAGAGTAGCTGCTTTCTGTCCAGCCAAAAATCTTTTTCTGTCTCTGTCTACAAAACTACAGGCTGTCTTGTCACGAATGTCCACTGTTTTTGACTCTCTTTTAGTTCTGTTTGGTTCATTTTGTAAGAAGAAGCGTAAAAAATCAAAATTAACCATTGGATGGCTGTTGCTGAGTGTTCACTTGGGGAGATTCAGGAGGCACAGATCGAGTCCTGCGAGAGTAGCGTGCCTGGTCCAGGTAGGGATTGGAGGAAATTGGGGTTCAGGCCAATTCCAGCAGGGGATGCTGGGTCTGGAGTGTGGCTGGTTGATGGATGATTGGGGTATGAGGGTCAGGTCCAGAGGAAGAAAGAGAGAGCTGGCTGTTTGTGGGTTGCTGAAGGGGAGGTCATTGGTGAGCCAGGGGATCAGTTTAATAGTACCAATTAGTTAGAGAATGCTTTAATTCCTCTTTTTTTTTCCCGGATAACAATTCAGCTATATTAGTCAGAACCCTCTAAAGTTTCAATGTCAGGCGCAATTCCTGCAGAGTTAGCTGGATTGAAACTTCTCCATGATGGCTCGATGGTTATAATTCAGCAATGTCTACCTTTGCATTGGAAGGTTTGGGCCAATGACGTGCAAGTGATAACTCATAGCTGTTAATTGGCTTGTTGAGGTAATTGGCAACCTTTCTTTCATTGTCAGAAGTCACACAACACCACCTGATGAAGGAGCTACACTTAGAAAGCTTGTGATTTGAAATAAACCTGTTGGACTATAGTCTGGTGTCGTGTGACTTCTGACTTTGTCCACCCGAGTCAAACACCAGCATCTCCACATTTTGGCTATCATCTCTTTCATTGTGTCTATGTTATTCTTTTAAGTGTCAGAAAGATCAGACAGACCCACCTTTCTGTGATGGCATCTCATTGAAATACACTGATTTAACAATTGTGCTGTCAGGCAGCGCTTGTGGAAAGAGAAACAGCATTCGTGTTTCACATTGACTTCCAGTTCAGATGAAAGACCAAAGATTTAACTGTTTTGAAACAAGGCCAGGAAAAGAGACAAGGGAAAGAAAGAAAATGCTAGGTGGGTCGATGTTGACTGACCTGCTTAATGTTGCCAAAATTTTCTGCTTTTTATTTGAAAATCTGCAGTGTTTAGCTTTTGTATGAGCATGTGGATGTGGTAAACAGCTGAAGCTGGGCAGCAAAATATTTGGATTTCTGCTCACAGTATGGATACTTATCAGGTGACAGTGTAATAGGAGTTTTGTGTTAAAGTTTTGAACGAAGCTGCCCTCTGGGGGCAGAACCATGGAACATGAAATCTTGTATTTTTGTACCTAATTTTGGAAAATAACCTCAGTTCATTTCTAAAGGTTTGCTGTCAGCATTGAGATGCACTAGATTGATCAACCACCTTGTGCTAGATTTTAAGAAATATTTTTCAAATTAATAAAATCAAAATGTAAACGGGTATAATTTGAAAAGTACGCGAGGAAGGATATCAGAAACTGTGCAGGGGAGTTGGGACATGGGTCTGGGTGCAGACTCACTGTGTCAAATGGCCTGTTTCCACACTGTAGGTGTTCTGTGATAACTGAGGAGGACCTTGATTCAGAATTGAGGAGAAGCTGACATGCTGAATATTTCCAGCACCTGCCATCTTCTGCATGGGTGACTATATGGCTGTTTTTTAATCATGTTTTTTTTTCCAGTTTGATCAATATTTCTATGGTTATAGACATTTGCAGTGATGCCTCAACATAAGATTATATTACCCTGCCTGCTGCTGTTGTTCGTCAGTCAACGGGCAGAATGTGATTGTAGGCCACATAGTTCAAATCCTTCTTTCCTGGTGAGTAGCTAGCTGCAACAAAATTATAACAGAGAGAAAAACTAATAAAATCCTAGCTTCATGACATATTTTTAAACTCTGCTTTTACACAAACACGACTGAACTTCTTCCAACCAAAACCAATTAATGCTAAGTGATATGTTTTTCTTAAAGGGAATGTTCCTTATTTGGTGAAATTTGTCTAGTGCATTGACAAAATATTAAGGATGGTTCTTGATTAGTAAGGCAATCAAAAGGTACAGGGAAAAGGCAGAAGAATGGGGTTGAGACTCATTTCCACCATAATCGAATGGCAGAGCAGACTTGATGGGCCAAATGGCCTAATTCTACTTCTATATCTTATGGTTAGGGAAGCTGCTGTAACAGCAGCGATTCCTTAACATTCCTTAATTAGATTCCTTAGGTAGTATCCTCCAAAATCCATGCCCACTTCTATGTAGAAGGACAAGGGCAGCAGATATATGGGAACACCACCAACTGCAAGTTCCCCTCCAAGTCACTCACCATCCTGCCTTGGAAATACATTGCCATTCCTTTACTGTTACTGATCAAAATCCTGGAATTCCCTCCCTGATGACATCAAATGGACTGCAGCAGTTCAACATGGTATCTCACCACCACCTTCTCAAAGGCAGCTAAGGATGGACAATAAATGCTAGTACAGCCAGCAACCCCACATTCCATACATGAATTAAAGTAAACATGGGCAATGATATGCCAGATGTTTACAGTCCTTTTTCTCTGAAGTCTGTTTAGGTGTTAGACTGCAATGGCTGACATTTTGTTGCTCATTTTTGGCCACTTGAGCACATCCATTGCTTTCCTCAGACTTGCTGGTGTTGGAGTTGGTCGTGACATTCCATTTAGAAAGGCTGGACTTCACACTGTGTACAAAACTCTGTATTGACTTGGTTCTGGACTTTCCCACACTAATTTGCCATTGTTCAACCAAACCTCAGATTTCTGAGTCCACATGAGAGAGAGAATATAAAAATGTTTCAGATTTGTCAATTAAGAATTAAATTAGTCCTCCCAGGGCAGAACTTCACGGGATGGGAAGATATATGGGAAATTGGTGAGCCCAGAGCTCTGCTTGTTCCACATAGTTTTCTATCAATTTGTATGAAGTTGTTGCTATACTTCTGAAGCCCTGATGGGTGCACCTACCACACAGCTTTTAAAACCTACACCATTGCTTATTCTTTGAAAATAAGATCAGAATTTTTGGACTAATTTTGGCATAGAGGCAACAGGGTGGGGTGGTAGAAAGGGAAGTCAGATATTTGCACATTGGAAGCCTTCCTGGCTCTGCCCTGACTTCAGGCAAGCTCCCCAGGATAGGTTGCCATGGTAATTAATAACCCATGGTACGAGGATGGGCAGCTGCTCCGGGCACATTTTACAGAACCTGCGAGTATTTCCCAGCCCAGGATTATTTTCCTCCTAGCCTGCTCCAGCTAGTAAGCGATCTTGGTAGCAACATAGAGGGGGCCTTTCAATGACAGCATAGGGGCCCTTTGATGTAATCTCCTCTCATTGGCACAATGAATGAGTGGCAAGATTGATAAAGCATTCTACAGCTGCAGCTAAAACCATTCTTGTAGAGAGGATTTAATATCACTCTGGTCCTAGTTACTCTGGGGCCCTTAATTTGACATTTTCAGCAGGTTTCTTTGAGAATACAATATGAGGCACAGGAGCACGGGTAGACAATATCGCCCATCAAGTCAGTTCTGTCATTCAGCATGATCGGGTCTAATCTTGGGCTTCAACTTGTATTTCCCATGCATTCCCTACCCGTCTTGATCACCCGAGAGACCAAGCATCTGTCCGTCTCCATCTTGAATGTATTCAACGTTGGGGAAAATACAACATTCTGGGGTAGAGAATGCCAAAGATTCACAATCTTTTGCATGAAGAAACCTTTGCTTATTATTGTGTTCATTGTGCTCCTATGCCCTAGATTCCTGGACGAATCAAAAAGATCTTTCATCATTTACCTAATCAACTCCTTCAGAACATTGTACTTTTCAATTAGATCAACCCCATTGTTCTGAACTCCAGAGAACATCGACTCAGTTTATGCAATCCCTGATCATGGGATGGCCCTCTTATCCCAGAGACCAGTCTAGTGAACCTTCATTGTACTAGATCTAATGCAATATACCTCAATTCAAATTCGAAGACCAAATTCACATACAGTCTTCTCACTAATATCTTGTGCAATGTAACAGGACTTCTTTACTTTTATACTCCAAAGCCCTTGAAATAAAAACCATTTGCCTTCCTAATTGATTGCTGTCCCTGCACGGTAACTTTAATTTCCTTGTATTAGAATGGTCAACCATCTCTAAACATCAATAATTACAAGACTCACACTTAGAAAAGCAGAATAGGCTTTCCTGTTATTATGGTGAAAATGAATAAACTCCACACATTCCCATATTGTACTCTATCCACCACCCTTTTGCCCATTTGTTTTACCCGTTCATGTCTCTTTGCAGAATCTCTAATCCTTCCCACAACTTAGCTTTGTATCATCAGCAAATTTAGATATGTTGCTCCCTGTCCATTTATCTAATTTAGATTGCAAATGGCGGAGGCCCCAGCACTGATCCTTTTGATACTCCACTTGTCACGGCCTGCTAACTTGAAAATGCTCCATTTATGTTTACTTTTTTTTGCATTTTGTCCATTAAACATTCTTCTAGATGTTTTGATATATTGCCCCCGCAAAAGAAGTCTCTTTCGACTCTTTGTGTCATTCTCACTAATTATCTTCCCACCTATTTTAGTGTTGTCCACAAACTTAGCTATAGTACATTCGTTTTCCTCATCTAAGTAATTAATATATATTGTAAATAATTATAGCCCCAGCACTGATCCCTTTGGCACATCACTAGTTATTGGTTGCCATCCTGAAAAATGCCCCCTTAACCCAACTCTCTGTCTTCTCCAATAGTTAGCCAATCCTCTTTCCATGCTAGCATACTACCTCCAACTTGTGCTCTTATTAAATAACCAAATGTGTAGTACCTTCTCAAATGCCTGCTGAAAAACCAAATATATTACATCCTCTGCTTCCCTTTTATCTATGCTGCTTGTTACCTTCTCAAAGAATTCTATTAAATTCATCAGGCATGGTTTCTCCTTCATGAAGCCATATGACGCTTTTTGATCATAGTATGTATTTCTAGATTCTCTGCAAATGCATACTTTATAATGGATTGTGACATTTTCCCAAGAAAATGTTGGGAGGCAATGGCCTAGTGGTATTATCACTGGATTGTTAATCCAGACACCCAGATAATGTTCTGGAGACCCGGGTTTGAATCCTGCCACGGCAGATGGTGGAATTTGAATTCAATAAGTATCTGGAATTAAGAATCTAATGATGACCATGAATCCATTGTCAATTGCTGGGGAAAAACCCATCTGGTTCACTAATGTCCTTTAGGGAAGGAAGCTGCCATCCTTACTTGGTCTGGCCTACATGTGATCCCCGACCCACAGCAATGTGGCTGACTCTTAACTGCCCTTTAAGCAATTAGGGATGGGCAATAAATGCTGCCTGGCTAGTGATGCCCACATCCCATGAACGAATAAAGAAAAAAAACAGACACTAAGCTAACTGGCCTGTAGTTAATGGTTTTTATGCCTCCTTCCCTTTTTAAATAGTGGTGTTACCATTGACTGTTTTCCAATTCTTTGAAACTTGTTCAGAATCTAAGGATTCGTGGAAGATTAATACTAGTGCATCCACTATCTCTGTCGTGACTATCTTTTAAAATCCTAGAATGCCTCCCCTTAGGTCCACGGGACCTATTGATCATTAGCCCCATTGGTTTCTCTAGCAATTTTTTTCTTGTGATAGTTATTGTATTTATTTCCTCTCCTTTTGGCCTGATTACCTATTAATTTTGGAATGCTATTAGTGTCTTCTAATCTGAAGATTCTTGTAAAGTATTCATTCAACTTTTCTATTTCCTGGTTTCCCATTATTATTTACATAGCCACATTCTCTAAGGGCCTTATGTTCACTTTGGAAAATGGAATGTGATGTGGAAAAATGAGAGTTTATGACTTTGGCAGGACGAATAGAACTGAATATCACATAAATGGGGAAAGACTGAAGAAAGCTTCAGCACAGTTGGATTTGAGTGCCGTTGTGCATAAATCATATTCAAATTCAGCAGATAAAGGGAAGAGCAAATGGACTGTTGCTTTTATTTCAAAGGAACTGGTTTATAAAAATAGGGAGGTTTTGCTAAACCGTACAGACCCAACCTGAAATTCTGTGAATAGTTTTGGTCCCCTTATCTAAGGCAAGGTATACCAGCATTGGAAGCAGACCAGAGAAGGTTCACAGGGTGGACTTCAGGTAAGGAGAGATTTTCTTGTGAGGAGAGATTGCATCAGTTGGGGTTGTACTCATTAGAGCTCAGAGGAATGAAAAGTGATCTTATTGAAATATAAAGCTCTTAGGAGCATGACAGTGTATGTATTGGAGAGGTTGTTTCCTCATGTGGGAAAGTCTGTGACCAGGGGGCATAATCTCAGAGTAAAACAGAGGTGAGGAGGACATTTTTTTGTCTGAGTGTAGTCAATCTATGGAATTTGCTGCTGCAGAAGGCTGTAAAAACTAGGTTGTTAAATATATTCAGGACTGAGATTGACAGATGCTTAATCATTAAGGGAATTGGGGATTATTGGGGGATAAGAAGAGGGAAGTGGAGTTGTGATTATGAAATCAGCCATGGTTTCATTGAATCGCAAGGCAGACTCAATGGGCCAAAAGGCCTACTTCTTCTCCTACATCTTAGGTCCTAGAACAGGAGGCTCTGGATTACTGATCCACTAACACCACCACTGCTTCACCACCACACCTTCTCAGGGAATTTTAGTGAAGTTTATGAATTTGCAAGGTATTTTACACTGAATTGTGCAATGAAATAACCTCATTGTGTTTTAATTTAGGCACAAGGTCCTTCCTTAAGAGAGGATGGTAATAATAACTTTCTCCGTAACGGTAAGAGATTATTTATTTATTTGTTTGTTTGTTTGTGTGTTCATTTGTTCTTTTTTTAAATATGTGGAATGTGGCCACCATTAACTAGAGAAATATTTATTGCCCATACCTAATTGTGCTTGAGAAGGCAATGAGCCACCTTCTTGAATCAGTGCAGTCCTCCCCAGGTAGGGGAGTCTAAAACTAGAGGGCATAGTTTTAAGGTAAGAGGAAAAAGATTTAAAAGGGACCCGAGGGGCAACTTTTTCACACAGGAGCTGGTGCATATATGGAACGAGTTGCCAGAGGAAGCGGTAGAGGTGAGTACAATTATAACATTTTAAGGACATTTGGATAGATAACAAGGATAGGAAAGGTTTAGAGGGATATGGGCCAAAAGCAGGAAAATGGGACTGTTTCAGTTTAGGAAACCTGTTTGGTATGGATGAGTTGGGATGAAGGGCCTGTATTGTGCTTTATGACTTTATGACCCTATGTGGTATAGCTATTTACAATGCTGCTGGAAAGGCACTACCACAATTTTGACCCAGTGACAGTGAGGGAGGGTCACTTCCAAGTGATACTGTTCTCATGTATCTGTTGCTCTTGTCATTTTGTGTGGGGAGGTAATGGATTTGAAAGGTGTTATGGAAAGAGCCATGATGAGTTTCTGCACTGCGTCTAGCAGCTGATATACCCAGCTACTGTTGTGTATTAATTATAGAAAGAGTGAATGTTTAAGGTAGTAGGGGGGGAGAGGGGGGAGGGGGGTGGGATGGCGGAGTGCCAATCAAGCGGGCTGCATTATCTTAGACAGATTTGACCTTCTTTAGTGTTATTGGAGTGACAACTATCTATGCCAGCAGAGGTATTGCATCACACACCTGACTTGTATTATGGAGAAGGAGAGGTTAAATGAAAGAAAATCCCTGCTATTCAGTTTATAAGTAACAGCTTATTTATTTAACCCTAACAGTGAACAAATTAACAGAATTACTAATAAACCAAACAATTCCCCCTTAACTGCAAACTATTCCCTAACTGAATTAAATTCTACTTGTATGCTATTTCAATAAACACAAGTCCCACTTACATAAACCCAACTAATAAGAAAATAAATTAAAACCTAGTCCCTCAAAATTTACACGCCTTTCTTCTGCTGTTCTCAAGTCATAAACACCTTTCTTCTGCTGATCCGGCTGTCAGGGATGTTTTTTCTGCGAGGACTCTTACCTAGAAGTGCCATGGTACCTTTTATGGAAAGATGGTGCTTTCTTAGAGAGCTTAGATATTTCTGTGAGAGCTATCTGTTTATTTCTCAAATGGCGGTTTGCTCTCACCCCGATTTTCAAAAACCCTCTCCTTATGTACCTTGGATGACATATCAATTTTCTTACAATAGTATTGGTCCGAGGTTGTCAAAACCATCAGATTTAAATTCAATTGGTTTCCAGTCACTAAGTGCTTGGTTTAACTTAATTGGTTGATTCCATCTCATTGCCAAAACATCAAAACAAGCCTAAGGTTTCCAATCACATAGCCAATTGATACACATTTCAATTTGAGAACTGGCTGTACATTTTCAGCTACATACAGACACATTTTTTCTGTATAAATCTCTAAGCTTAGAAAAGCACTTTACCTCTTAAAGGAACCACACACTCTTTTCCCTTTTTTTTCAAACAAATTCTAGCTTCCTGCCTTCTAATTCATGATTACTCCACACAACTTCATAACACTTCCCCCCCCTTAAGAAATAAAAGGACCATGAAAAGATGGCTTCATTCTTTTTAATTTTAACACCATTATCACGAGATACAGAGATCAGTAATCTAAAGTTACACCTTTCATACTAATTCTGCATACATATATAACATTGGACCACACCGGTTCTATCTTATCTACACATTTTCTTTTAAACCCAAGATAATGCATCTGCGATAACATTTTTATGACCCACAACATGCACAATCTGTAAATTAAAAGCCTTCAACATAAGACTCCAGTGAAATAGTCTGGTTTTCTTGTCCCTAAATTCTTCCAAAAAGGAGAGAGGGTTGTGGTCTGTATACGCAACCGTCTGCGAAACATTGTTTTTGACATGAACATTAAAATGTTGTAAGGCAGATACTAAACTGAATAACTCTTTTTCAATTGTGGATTATTTTCTGTAGTGGATACTGAGTTTCTTTGAAAAATAACCAATTGGCTTTTCAATTCTGCCATCATCCTCCTGCATCAACATAGCTCCATCTCCTACATCTCTGGCATCGATACCGACTTTAAAGTGTTTGAAGAAATTTGGCTTGGCTAAAACTGTTGTGGTGGTTAACATGGCTTTTAAATTCTCAAATGCCTCCTGGAATTGTTCTGTCCACCAAAATTTCATGTTCTTCTTTAGCAAATCCATCAGTGGTGCCATACAAACCTCCGGTAGAATCCGCTCTGTCCCAAAAATTGAAGCACATCTTTCTGTGAGAATGGTCTTGGAAATTCCTCAATGGCCTTCATCTTCGCGTTTCTCAGGGTCATCATTCCATATCCGATGTTGTGTCCCAAAAATATCACTTCTGCCTTTTTGAATTCAGCCTTTGCTAAGTTTATAACCAGTTTTGCCTCCCATAATCTTCCAAAGAGCGCTGCCAAATGCACCATGTGATCTTTCCATGAATGGCTAAAGATCACTAAGTTATCTATATAGACGGCTCGATTAGTCATTCCTGCCACAACTCTATTCGATAATCTTTGAAATAGTGCATTCTTCATTCCAATGGGTATTACTTTAAATTGATACAGCCCATTTGGGGTTACAAATACAGAAATTTATTTTACTCTCTCCAACAAAGGTACTTGCCAGTAACCACGAAGTAAGCCTAACTTTGTGATGTAAATGGCTTGTCCAACTTTTTCCATACAGTCCTCCAGCCTTGGAATTGGGTATGAGTCCAATTTAGTTATGGCATTGACCTTCTGATAGTACTCAATGATTCTGCATGGACTATCAGGTTTCAGAACCAACACGATTGGTGAACTTCACTTGCTTTGACTCGACTCGATGATGTCTTCTTGGAGCACGGCTTTCACTTTCTTCTGTACCTGTGTGGCTTTGAGAGGATTAAGCCTCTAGGGGTGTTGTTTATTCCCTACCTCAATCTAATGTACTATAGTATTAATCCTCCCCATTCTATTCCTACAAATGTCCTCAGGTTGCTGCAACAAGCCTTTCAATTCAGTTCTCTCTTCCTGAGACAGATAGCTCACTATCCTATCCTATTCTCCAAGGAATTCCTCATTATTTAACTTATTTTGAGGCACATCAAAATCCAAATCATCTGAATTTGATTCCTGACTCTGAGAGGCAGTAACTAATACCTGTTTCTCCTGTTTCCTGTCATAGTAAGGTTTCAGCATGTTCATGTGACATACCCAATAAAGTTTTTTCCTATCTGGCATCTTTACCAGATAATTCACCTGACTCAACTTCTTCTCAATCTGAAAAGGACCGCTAAATCTTGCTTTGAAGGGATCTCCTACCACTGGTAATAGCACCAATACTTTAGCCCCATGGGCAAACATACGAATTTTAGTTTTCTTATCTGCTTCTTCCTTCATTAGATGCTGTGCCACATTCAGCTAATTGTCAGCTAATTCACCTAGTCCGTTTAATCTTTCTCTCACCTCAGATTCATAATCCAACTGTGAGATCTCTGACTTCGGACCTATCAATCTTTCCTTAATTCATCTTAAAGGCCCTCTTACTTTGTGTCCAAGTGTCAACTCAAATGGAGTAAACTGAGTCTGTTCATTTGGAGCATCTCTAATGGCAAACAATATAAATGGGATACCTTTATCCCAATCATCCTGGCAATAAGTCCTCAGCATGATCTTTAGGATGTGATGCCACCTTTCCAATGCTCCCTGGGATTCAGGATGGTACGCACTTGATTTAAAGTGTTTGATCCCTAAACTACCCATAACCTCCTTAAACAGTTTGGCAGTAAAATCGGACCCTTGGTCTGATTGAATCTCCCTAGATGGTCCACAATGGGTAAAGAAAGCAAGCAACTCCTCCACAATCTTTTTTGCCTTGACATTCTGTAATGAAATTGGCTCCGGAAATCTTGCAGACACATCCATTATGGTTAGCAAATACTGGTTTCCACTTTTGGTTTTAGGGAGGGGACCTACACAATCAATCATAACCTATGTGGAAGGTTCTCCAAATGTGGGAATTGGCATCAAAGGCACTGGTTTTATTACTGCCTGTGGCTTTCCTGCCATTTGACACAAATGACAGTAACGGCAAAATTCAACCACATCCTTTTGTAATCCAGGCCAATAGAAATGCTTTTGTATCTCAGCCTGAGGCTTCCTCACTCCGAGATGACCTCCTACAGGTAAAGCATGTGCTACCTGCAATACTTCCTGTCTCTACACTACTGGCAACACAATCTGGTGAACTTTCGCCTGATTCTCCTCTGCACGAACCTGCTGCGGTCTCCATTTTCAGCTTAGGATTCTGTCCTTAAGATAATAACATCTGGGAATACATTCTGATTCATTTTCCAAGTAGGTTTTATGATACAAACCTTTTATTGTCTTATCTTTTTGTTGTAACTCCATTAATTTTTTCAGAACTAAACACCTCTGCCTGATCCTCTACCTGCTGACATCCTTCCTTTGCCATTTCATTAAACAGGATGTTAGCTCACTGGACCTCAACTCCTTCATCTTTCTCTTTGGTTTTTCTTTCTTGCTGTAACTTACCACTGTGGGACCTTGTTACCACATAGCCCAGAAAAATTCCAGGGTATTTTTCCTTTAACTTCTCAGTTCCCTGGATTTCCTTTAGCTTCTCTACTATTAGGACGGCACTCCCACCTTTGATCCTGCTAGGTCTTTTCAAGAACAAACGGTATTCCTGGAATAGACTCTCTTTCAATCACCCCAACTGTCACTTCCCCAGTCTTGATTGGACTTTCCAACCTGATCTTACCCAGGGAAATGCTCAATCTCTCTCC